CCGGTGCCTGGGCGACGGCGGCCTGCGCAGCTACACGGCCGGTGAGCGAGGCGGGGCCGGGGCTGCGGGCGAGGGACCGGGCCGGGCTGGGCTGCAGGCAAGCCCGGTGGCCTTGTCCCCAGCAGTGCAGGGGTGTCTCGGGTGTGGGCAAGCCCCATTTACATTGTGCTTGTCCGGGAGGGGCTGGATTGGACCCTAGAGGGTTTTGGGGGGCCCTGGCAGGCTGGCCCCCTTCTCTGTGGCTCCTGGCGCTGAGCAGGGCGCTTGGGGCTCCAGGAGGATGATCCGCTCTCCTGCCAGTCTCGGCCCCACTCTGCGTTGCCAGGAGCACCCGGCCCTTTCAGCTGTTTTATGTAAACGGTGGAGCCCCACGGGGAAGCGGGGCTGGAAGGGATCTCCAGAGGTCATTGGGGCAGCCCTCTGCCAGAGCAGGATCGGTGGAGCCAAACCCATCATCTCGGCTATAGTTGGATTGCTGTTAGCCCTGATGATACAGACCAGCACCCTCATCTGCCACAGGTAGAGCAGGGAGCCGATGCCCTGCCTCGAGGAAATGTCGTCAGCATATGCTCAAGAGATCCCTGGGAGAGGGTAACGCTCCCCACTAGAAACCCCATGGTCTCCGAACCAGTCTGACCGTGGGGTAAAAGGCCTCCCTGACACCAAAAATGTAGGTGCTCTGGTTCCTTCTGGAATTGCAGCATTACTGTCTCTCATTGAATGGCCCCTGCAATCACTAGGCATATTTAATGCGAGGATTGTTTGGCTTTAAGCTGATATGGACTTGCTTGCAGATGCAAGAACAGCTAAGATGTTTCCAGCAGCTGCCTGAACCTACACAAATAGTCCAGTGTATTGCTCACTGTAATGTGAAAGAAGACACTGTTGTTTCTCTAATAGTAGTGAGTTATTAATTTCTCTGAACTATGTATAACATGAATGTGCATTGTCCAGCGTATTTCTGGGAGCGCAGTTTTTCTTTTATCTTTCTAGTTATCTGTTCTTTTTATATGAAAAGTTGTCTCTGTGGGTCAGGTATGATGAGGGGAGGAGGCTGTGTTTGTGGATGAGACTTTTTATGTACTGAGCATGCAGATATTAGTGAAGTCATTGGAAATTTGGCACCTTTGAAATCTTGGCTGTAATTTAAAAATCACATCCTACAAACAATAGATTTGTGACACTATGTAGTGTATGCCTGTTGTTATATTTGTTGTCCTGAGGCCTAATTCAAAGCTGATTTAAGTCAATGGGAGTCTGTTGAGTTAACTTCAGTCAGCTTTGGATCCACTTACACTTTGCCAGCAGTTTAGTTTCGGGTCAGTTGAGTGGTCTACAGTATTTCTGGATTAAATGGATCATTATTTATCCTGTAGTGCATTAATGGATGACCGTGTTCAGCAAGTCATCTTGAATTTCATATTATATAGCATGTCAAGGAAATCTTCCACTGCAGTATGTTAAAAGATTGAGTTTTTAATTTGGGACTAGCTAGAAGTATGGCTGATTAGGCGATGAAGGTAAAATAAAACCTTTAGGATCTGATCCCTGCAGTAGAATTTCCAAAATGGTGATGAAGAAAGTTTTAGTTGTTCTGAGAGGCTGAAGTATCTGAGTGTTTTGATACCTAATATAGGGTGCCAGAGACAGGAGGGTCTTAGGTGTACTGACCTTCTGATAAAAAGATGATGAATGCCAAGGTCAGTTGCTGTTCCTGCATCAGATTTCTTTAATGATGCAGAGAACAAAATTGAGGCTTTCTTGGTAGTGGAAGGAAATCTGTTGTCAAAGAATAATAGTCTGCCATTGACAAACAATCTGAGGCAATTATTTTCAGTGCTGGGACCTCTGTCCTATAATGATGTTTATATATTTACCTTGCGCCAAATGATTGGTAAAGATTGCAATAGTTTTGTCTCGGGCTACTGCTTTAGAGTAACAGTTGTTGATTATACCATTATTGACTGGCTAGTATTGCGTTTTGACTTGTTGACACGCAATAGGGCTTCTTTTCAAACCCAGTTTATTGTGAAAGCATAATAGGTCATTAAAAGCATATTTTATATCTATTTTATATTCCATTTTGTATTTCAGTATAGTGTATTAATGACTAGTAACCTACCTCTTTAAACCTTATAAAACTAGGTATGCAATGAGAACTTGCAAACTAGCTTCTGAGTACCTTATACTTTGTGAAATATGTTAATTTCAGTTTTTTCAACACGTAATAGGCTACATCACTTTGAAAGTCTTAATTGTAGCCTGTGGAGGTGCACTCGGGACAAAATTGGTCTGTGTGTGTTAAATGGTTAACTATAACATAAAATTAAAAATGAAAGGCAGTGTAACGAGTACATTGGTGTGGGACATAATGTAAGCATCTGCAATGTCTTGGAAACATCTGAAAGTTTAGCTATGTTTTGAAGTCTTTGCTATCCTTGCTTTAATTTCCAAAACTGTGTTCATTTTGCAGATTAGTACAATTGCATGTTCTGAAATGAAATAGATATTATTTTGTGTGCAGATCAGTAAGAAGTGGCAAATGCTTATCTCATTGCAGATTTTACTTCTGAGCTAAAACAAATCTAAGCCTTTTTAGCCATTGTTTGACAATCTAATTATACTTTTAAAAATATGTATATTTGTTTTGAAGTCTCTCTGTAAATAATAAACTATGGGCATGAAAACGCTGTGCAAATTGGGCTAATAATTATTACCTTTATACAGGTGTAGGCTAAGAGAGAAGAATACAGACTGATGCTTATTAGAATCGTGCATCAGTCAGAGCACTCCAGTAGCCAGCGATTCTAACAAGTAGTTGCATAGTAAAGTCAAACATAAAAGGCCTGTGTGGGGTCCCAGCAAGAAACTGTATAGCTCTGGTACTTCATTACACAGATAGGTTATAAGATTACAATAATCTTGTTGTAATAAAAAGCAAAATATAATGAAACTGCATGCAGGTGGGCAGCATGAACTAAACAGATTTGATTCTAATGACCAGTGTGGGGGAAAAAAGCTGGTACTCATAGATTATGGTTAGGATGTTGGTTCTATAAAACAAGATGCTTATGAGCAGCAGACACTGTAACCTAGTGAAACACTTGGAGGTGGTTTCAACAGGAATTCCACAGCTTCTGGACTTGCTCTTTTTAGACCGCTGTCTGAACTGCATAGGCCAGGGGCCTGCAGGCTGAATTTGGCCCACGTAGGTCTGTTATAAACTAGTGGTTCTCCATGTTTTTTGTACCAGGACCCATTTGTAAACGTTGATGGCCAGTCCTGACTTAGTGCCCCTCACACCTGACCTGCTGCACCCAGGCCCCAATCCCCAGTGTGTGGGGCAGAGGGTGGGTGTGTGGGGCATAGAGGGTCCCAAGCAGCCCCTCACAGGGTATACCTCTGCCAGCCTGCAAGGGAAAAGCCAGAGTTTCCCACATTTTTCTCCTTTAAAGGAGAATCCATTTTTAAAGTTTGTTGATCCTTTTTTGAAGTTTGTTTACAACCCTTTCATATATTCTTGCAGCCCACAGGTTGAAAAACACTGTTCTAAACCATGTTTTAAGAATGACCGACCAATTTCCTTTCTCTGCATAGTCCAGTCTGTGCTTATCTATTCGCTGGCCAGCCGATGGTCTCTTGCCTCACTTCTCACTGCAGCCTCTGCTTGCGGAGCATCCCTGTGGCAACATCTGGGTCACGGGGTGGCCTGCCCTTACGAAAAGGTTGCTGACCCCTGGGTAGACAATTCATGGCTTGAAATATATTAAAGCATTTTCTTAATTCATTGCACACCCATCAGACAGTCGTTCACCTCAACTGCGTTCTGTATGATATACATGAGTATAGGGAGAAAATTGTACTGATCATTTATGTTACCTAATATTTAAAAAAACAAAACTACCATTTGTGGTCAAACTGCATTTTGCCAAACAAAATTGCCAATACCCAGCTGGGTATTCTCAAGCTTCTTGGGTTCAGGGGATTACACAGAAATTGAGCAAGACTTAGCTAATGTGACCAATAAAAGTGGGAATAAGATCATATATGAGAAGTTTTCTACGTACTGTGGTTTATGATGGGTTGGGAATGTGATCTGTCTTCTTTTTCTTTCTTAAACCTTCATCATAAGCTATTATGTAAAAGAGTTGGTGATGTCATAATTAAACAATTAGCTACTGTGATAAAGTCATAGCTCATTGTGAGCCTTATGGATTTGAAAAATTTATGAAATAGATGTCCATACATCTAGCTGGCAGTTCAAATGAAAGTTAGCTG